GACTATTATCATAGGCAATACATCAACATCGCCAACGAGATGTGTTTTAAACATCGCGGAAAAACATGCACTCTGCGCCGCCATCTTGTTACCTCGATCAGAGCCCCCCTGTAACCCAGCATGCATCGGTCACAAGGTTGCAACGTGCATTATGTCGCCTTAGGGCGGCGTTCTTCGCTACTAAGGCATCCTATGAATGGGGTATTTCCAGAGGTCAGGGTTCGTTTTTTCTTAACCCGTCTCGTCTGCTGTTGAATTATTCACACTTTTCTTTCCAATGCGACTTAATTTCACTTGTTTTTTTTTAATTTTGGGGTAATTAATGTCACCGGCGATTGAGTGATAAAAAATCGGAGTGCAGCAAATCGGGGTTGATCTTCCCGACGTACGCCGTGACTTGTTTTGTCACATTGTTGCCGTTGCGTGCAATGGGCAAATTATTGCTACTCTAGTATTTTTGTTTGGATTTGGAGGCTCTGCACCCCGGCTCTGCATCCTTGAAAGACTTCGCAACTTATTGCAGACTTCCGTTTTTATCACTGTCTTTGTATGGCTAACAAAAGCGGGATTACCTTTCGATCAATACATGTTATTGTTTTAAATTCGTGCAAGACGAGACTGACACTTGTAAACAAAGCAATAAGCATCACGGGCCAGTGACCAAGCGTCACGGACAAAGGGCAAGCATCACGGCCGAGTGTCCAAGCGTCACGGTACCGTGTCGCTTCAGAGGCCTGGGGAGAACACTGTTAACTATAGACAGAAATGAGATGGTCATGAAACTGTGATGTTTTGATGCTACATATAGCAATTTTTTACAGGCATGGATAAAACAAAAAGATAGTAAAATAATCTCAATGCATGTGATAATAACTGCAATAACACCTGCATGGAGTTGTACTGTTAAAATCAAGTGTTTTCTCTCACACACACATAAAACAAAATGATGAGATATTTTAAATCGATTTAGGTTATTCTAATCTACAGCATGTACCAAAGAAGCCATTTTTAATTTGCTTCGCATTATGGGATTGGATATGGTCCGTATCATAAAATGTAATCATAGTTGCTTAGAGTAAACTAAATATTACAGAACTAAAGATGTTAAATCCCAGCAACCAGGTACAATCGTATTTGGCCACTTATATTTGCGAATAATTCATAAATACGCCATCAATAATCTGCTAAATTGACTTTCTTGTGTATTTTCAATGAAAATAAAACAATTTTATTGTCTTATATAATTTGTTCTCTTTGATGTTTAATTAAAATTTATTTTTTATTTTCCATATGAAATAGAAAACGTCTTGTATCATAAATATATTCAGCCATTTTCAATGAATAATAAGCTAGTTGCAAATGACTTGAACATGCGATATGATACGCCTACTATAGCAGCTCTAACTGCAGACTGAATGCCTGGTGTTGAACGCACTATTGAGAAAGCAGTGGCACACAGTGGTGAGAAAGTTGTTCACGGAACCACACATTTGCGTAAATCGAACCAATGGCGCGAATTAGATTTTACATTTTTTCCTTTGAAGTTTCTAGTGTCTATGAATATACGATATGGTAAAACATATTTTAATTCCACATATTTAAAGTACAATCTTCTTACCTTAAGTTCTTGTGGTAAATGTACAACTTCTATGTTTGGTGGAAATGTAAACCTATGCCCTCTTCTATTTCCTTTTACCGAAGAATCAACAGTAACTACCAAAGATTTGAATCCAGCCGTTTCAGCTCTTCTTATCAGGTTTACAGTGAACTCCCTACATTCCCAGATATATAACTGAAACCATTTCAAAGTGTCAGGGTAGAGAGAAGCTACTTTTTCCAGGGTAGTCGTCGTCACATTACTGAGTACCATACAAGTACCCATTGCATTAGCAGCTATACAAGTATATAATAATAAATAAACTCCTTGAATTGATTGCACTGTTGCATGTATTGTGGATGCGAGAATCATCTAACATGTCACACATACTATGTCAATGGATGACATTTCTTGTTTATAATTTTACTGTGAATTGCTTTCAAAATAATTGATAACATTATCTTTTACCGTTGGCTGTGTCCAGTTCTCCGCCAGGCGACACGAGTTTGTGGAAAGCACTTGGTGCGATGCACACTGGGAAATCCAAATGTTGACCAAGAATAGATGTTGACAGGTCTACATTGGAAACATCCTTTAAGACTCTTGGTAATATTTTTAACCTTTGAGAGAAGACAATTAATAAAGTAGTTATAAAACTATAAGCACTATTATGAATACATCTAAGTCATATCTCTATAAATCTGTATAAATCTAAATGACTGGTAGAATTCAAACTGATAATAAATATTAATGAGCTAGTTTATCATCATTCAATCAGCAAGCTCTTCATTTTGAAAAAAAGATCATTTGCGGTTGCTATGTCACTTTAAGGCTTGTGCGCGCATTATGGGCGTGGAGATTGTGAAACTCTCGAGCCAGTCATTATTAAATATTTGAATTTTAATGAAAGAAAATAATTAAAAATTGTAATACATATGTTTAAAAACTAAGAAACAGTGTTCTGCCTTTCACGGTAACCAGTATTATAGAAGTACATCGTTCACCGAAACTGTTGCACACATACATTTGCGGATTCATCACATTTGCAACGCCTAGCAGCTGCATTCACAACCTCCATTGGCCTCATTTGCATAATTCATCAATACAAACCGCATTTATGCTTGGTTAATGTGTAATGTTAAGCAGTATTTGTGACACAATTTTAATATTTCTTGCATGATTCCTAATACGCAGGGTCATCAACTTATTTGGTTATTTGGATGCAGTTATTAAAAATCTCGGTCTTATTGCCTAGAATCTTCGAGTTTTTAAAGACTTTGTTTTCATTCTGCAGTGTTTGTGCACATAGCACAACGATATAGCATCTACTTCTATGGTTACACGCCGAAGAAAACCCAAGTCTGAAGACATCAGACATCCTGAGTGATGTTCCACAAAATCGCGCAACTAATCGATCACACTAGGTCGATAGATGGTACTAATCCCACCAACTCTTTTACGCGATCTGTGAGTTAGAATACCCCCCAGTTATGGCTAGAAAAAGTGTCCTTTAATTATATGACATCAACAATGAATTGCGTCGAACTCCAAACTCAATGGCTAGTCGATCGCGAGTGAGTACACGAAATGCTGCTTACATTAATGCTAGTTACTGGAGCCGTAGGTAGTTCTGTTCTGTTTCTATGTCCTGGTTATCAAGTGACACTCAAGAAAAAACAAATGATAGCGACGATAATAGTATTAATCGAGAGATGGCAGAAATATGACAAATTTCCCAGGGTTTAGCTGATTAATACGTTGACCAAATATAGCGACTGCGAATAACTATTGAGCCATATCGCATGAGTTATATTCCACTCTTGGTGAATGCCCATTTTGGTCATGCGATAACAGTCGCAACCGAAAAACTCGATTTGGAATATTGTTATACGATGTACCCAATATTGTCCATGTGTTATCACCTGTCCTTTGCCATCCCCAATGAAGCGTCCGATTCATGTTCGATTGTTAATTTATAGGTGAATTAAAATCCGAAAAAATTGAAACAATGGCATACGTGTAGTAAAATTTTAACTCTCAGCAAATTTCTAGCAGCTTTCCGGTATTGTAAAACTATCGTCTGAGAGGTTTATCCTGATAGGAAGGAGGAACTCGATTTGTATACTATGGTAATTATTGACGGTGGTAAGCTATTCTATGATTACCATGTTCGTTTTGTAAAGAAAGCAGCTGCTTATATAACACTTAGAAAGATCAATTTATAGTGGTCGAGACAGAGACAACGCTATGTTTATGAGTATAACCTATGTAAATTTCTAAATTTTGTAAATTTCTATTGAGAGTTAGTTTCAACTCTTCCAATGCTGCAGTAAGGGGTGAATTAGGGAGACACTCAGTTAGAGTTTATGTTAATATTGAAATGGTCAGATTTTGGCTGAAACTGATTCAAGAGGGCGGCTCAGCTATTTTAAAAGAATGTTATAATTACCTATACCATAGAGAAGAAGGGGGGTCTAGGTGTTGGGCTTTAGAGGTAAAAAATATTTTATGTACATCTGGTTATGGACATGTATGGTATGAACAAAGGATTGATAATAGCGAGATGTTCTTCAGTGAATTTAAAAGAAGATGTTTTGATATATCTAGACTCAATTGGTGTGCAGAAATTAATAAAAATGTAAAGCTTCAAACGTATTCCATGTTTAAACAAGATTTAATATGTGAAAGGTATCTTGCTGCTATTTCGTTGGCTACCGTCTATTCATGTGCTATAACTAGACTTAGAATTTCCTGTCATCCTCTAGAAATTGAAAATGGTAGAACTTTGGGTATCCCACGTGACCAAAGATTATGTCCATTTGGTTGCAGGCTCGCAGAAGACGAATATCATTTTACTATGGTTTGTCCAAAATATGAAGCACTTAAACAAAAATTCTTACCAAAATATTATTTTTCACCACCAACCAAGATGAAATTCATTGCATTGCTACGAGTACTAACTCGTATATTTTAGTAAGTTTGGGTAAATATTTGTTTAAGAGTTTTCATTACAGTGAAACTGAAATGGAAGTATGTATCTTGTAATTTTAAAGCGATCGTGTGTAATTTAAGTTTTGAAATGTAACAGTACTTTAGGCCGGTGGCCATATAGTGCGGAATAAAGAAATAACATAACCTATGGGCATCAACACATTTAGCAGTAGGAATATATTCAGGGAATACAGGTTTGTTGTTGATTTGTCAGCATCCCATATCAAGCCTGGTGTTTCTAGCCTTAATGATACGACTGACAAAGACAGATTTTCTTTATATTGCATTACTATCCATGAGATGGAAATTGTAGGTACTTATGTGTAAATACGATATTACTAATACTTTCCGACTCCATCCTGTAATGTGGCAGTTACATAAAATTAAGTGGCACAACAAGTACTAATTTTCACAAGATTTGTCTTTGGATCCAGGTCAAGCTCAAAGATTTCGATTGGCTGTCAATTGCTGAATTGCCAAGTTTAAATCTGAAATTAGTTTTGTTTTGCACTTGCTTGATGACTTTTCAGTTATTGACGCTGGCGAGGAAACAGCCAGATGTTCAACGACTATCATGACAATGTTTTTTTAACATACTACTGTGGTCACACAAAATTATTGGACCATCACAAGAACTTGAATATCTGGGTATCGTGCTGCACGGAGTTAGAAATGTGGGTGAAATTCCGTAACACATGGAGTGGCGTGCACTTTTTGTACATTGTGCAGCTGTCAATGCTTCAGGCGTTGCAATATTCAATATTCACGCCTCTTCCACGTTGGGTTTTGGGAGTTATTTTCAAGTTACAAGTAATACATTGCAGATTTATTGTTTCAAATATCTGTGGTGATACAACTAAATATTCAGGAAGGAGACTTATTTCGAATAGGGGCTGCCACCACAGCAGCTCGTGTTGGTATACAGAATCATGTTTCCGAAACTATGCGACGCTGGTGCAGATACATTCATATTGATCATGAGTCTTTAAGAGCCACTCACTCGGCATTAATTAGTTTATTGTAATCAGTTCCCGCACGCGGAAGGTTTTTTCGATATTTTTAGTTTTTATATTTTTAATTCTTGGGGTCATGGTGTTGTCACCTGCGCATGGCTAATTTACACCAATATATTCTGATGACGTTATTACTTATGTTATTACTTATGCTTTTTTATTGTTCATTTATTAATCCCTTATTTGAATTTCAGAATGATCAAAATCAAGAAATGATTTCATAACCATGGGCGATCATAGAAATTGTAATTTGTGGAGACTTCACAGGCAAGGTGAAATACAATCATAATATAATCAAAGATACACACTCAAACCATTTTTGTCACGTTCACTTCACTGCGGTAGATATATATTTGACTCACCTGGAAAATGCAGTACTATTTTCTTTCAGAGTAATTTCTGCATCGGTACCTTCAATAAAATACCCCAAAAGTTTCTGTTCCATATGATCTTTCGCATATTTTTCATAGTCGTCAAGGCAAACTAGCGCTTCTGTTGAGGCCATTTTGAATCGTACCACACACCTGGAACAAAATAATATTTGAGATAAGCACATTTATTTAAATTGCGTGGCAACAAATACAATATGTAGATAGTGACATATAAATATGTTTATAACGACTTGCTAGTGACAAATCGATATTTATCATCACGGTAAACTATACATTGAGTCTAGATGTTCATCCTAGAAGTATTCATAATCAATATTTATATCACAATATATACATAAAATTATACATACTAATTTATTGGTAGATATTGGAGAGCGTTGTGTTTGTGATCATCATTTACAGGTCAACAATCCAGTATTGTAACCTCGTTTCCAGTTACTTCCAAAAATAGTATGTTTACAAATGTTAAACGGGTATGAGATTTGCGTCAGGAACAATGCGTGTTAATTCCTGTGTGAATACCTTTAAATACACACTGTATTTGTGTGGACACTGTATTTACAATATACACTGTATTTGTATTTGCTTGTATTCAGGTAGAATTGAAGCTTAACAACAATTTTTTCTCGAATGTATTCTTCGTAAATACAATAAATAATGAATTAACAAGCATACGCACTATTTTTATACAGTACGAGTACCTCCTGTATTTAGCCGGATTTGTCAAAAATACATATTTTTTTTATTTATGCGGACTTGAGTAGTGAATGGATGGATTCGTCCTATATTCAACAAGTATTTAACTAGAATAAGTAGAAATACATTTCTAGTATAATGGACGCATAATGGATTCAGACAGAAATATGCAAATATACACCCCATTTATTTAAATGAACAAGAACATTATGTGTGATATTACTTTTTTTGAAAAACCCTGTGTTCAGCCAGTATTATGCAAAAGTATAATTTGAATGAACATGGGCAGTATAGGAGATACTTTTTATTCAACCAATATTATGGAAAAATGCATTTCTTGGAGTATAGAAATACCTTTTTAGGAATTCGACTAGTATCTAGTAAAAATTCATTCTAACGTAAACAATTTGCAAAGGTGAACAGCATCATAATTTACTAACAACTTTACAATAATGTAAATATGAATGGTACTTCTTCAGATTTCACCATCACAGTTCGACATTAGTTCACTTTTTCTCGAAAATCCGTTTCTTCATCCTTTAGCAATCTTTCTCGCCATTTCATAATCTCGGGCATAATTATAAAACAGAACAGAACACACACATACATCATTCCTTAGAAATCTAAAACATGTATTCAGATACAAATCAATAATACCGAATATACGACCCGGTTAAACATGTACCGACGCGTATTTATGGCGTGTATTTCATTTGCTAACTTAATTTAACATATGATTTACCCCCCTGCTATATTATTATTATTGCTTTAATTCAAATCATAAGATGTATAGCTGAACAGAAGAGAACACACAAATAGATGCCTGTGTTATTTTTAATCTACTTACTACGTTACTAGTTGCTATGATCAGTGGCGGCTTCACCGGGGCAGGAAGGGCGGCCGCTCCCCAGGAAAAGGTTTGGGGGCATTGCTCTCCACCGTACCCAAACCAATCAAGCTGAAACCTTCCCCCAAAAGTTTCGTGCCGCCGCCTCTGATGATGTTGATAACCTACCATCCACTAGCATGGACTGTTTTAGATCCCCATTCATGAATTCTCTGTGCTTTAAACGAGGTTTTAAACAACATGCACGGATAGTCAAATATGTCAACATATGCACGAGGGGGAATTACATCCATAGACTCTAATTAATGACATTAGTTACATTCAGCATGAAACTAATCAATAATTTCAGGTAGTTAACAGTTCTAATTATCAAGATGCTTACAAAAGCCTATATTCTAATATTAATAATTGTCGTTGTCGTTGTTTTCTACATAGTTCAAAATTGGATATATGTAGTGGAATAGTGGTGCAAAAAGCGAAACTAGCGTGAAAAGTAATGGAATAGTGGAGCAAAGTGGGAAACTAGAGTGCGAAGTACTGGAATAGTGGAGCAAAGTGAGAAACTAGAGTGCAAAGTACTGGAATAGTGGAGCAAAGTGGGAAACTAGAGTGCAAAGTGGTGGAATAGCAGTGACAAGTGCGAAACCAGAATGCCAAGCGGTGGAATAACGGAGCAAATTGTGGTACTGGAGTGCAATGTAGTGGAATAGTGATGCAAAAAGCGAAACTAGCGTGAAAAGTAATGGAATAGTGAGGCAAAGTGGGAAACTAGAGTGCGAAGTACTGGAATAGTGGAGCAAAGTGAGAAACTAGAGTGCGAAGTACTGGAATAGTAGAGCAAAGTGAGAAACTAGAGTGCGAAGTACTGGAATAGTGGAGCAAAGTGAGAAACTAGAGTGCGAAGTACTGGAATAGTAGAGCAAAGTGGGAAACTAGAGTGCAAAGTACTGGAATAGTAGAGCAAAGTGAGAAACTAGAGAGCAAAGTGGTGGAATAGCAGTGACAAGTGGGAAACCAGAATGCCAAGCGGTGGAATAACGGAGCAAATTGTGGTACTGGAGTGCAAAGTTGTGGAATAGGGGTGCAAAATGCTCCGGTTTTGACCCCGACGCAAGAAGTCGCCTGCAGATACGTCCAGTCGAGATTTCTTTCGCGGTCACATTAGTTTTCGTGATCACGCTAAAACGGCTAAATTGATAATTAATTATATTTTTTATGTAAAACAAAAAAGAAGTCCCGACTTTGCCAGTCTACTATATCAGTAATATAGATTATTGTCTATCACATAAGCTTGCATGCATAGAATTACGAAACAAACAAAAAAATAACCGCAACGGTTGCAAATAATGCTGGCATCGGACACGGCTCTATCTACGCAGTTTCTTCAAACTTGACGAAAACGAGTTTCATAAAAAAACACAAAAAACATATATTTCTTGAGGTAGGCAGGTGTTAGTTAAATGGAAGTCGTCACAGCCTTGATAAGACAAACGCAAACACAAACTACTGTAGTGTATAATTCAATCCATCCGTGAGTTCACATTAGTACATTAACGTTATTGAGCTAAAGAGCCTTATTATGTGTTAACCCGGAAGTACTAATAAACGGAGATCATGACATCCAAGATGGCAGGCCAGATCTGAGTTCAATCTGTTGTGTCTGTGTATTTAATCCAGACCATCCACTGTTTTATTGAAGACGGGGATAGTTCAATTGGCGACGAGGATGGTAATAATAGACTAACCTTTGATCTACCTGGCAATTATGGATATTTCCGTCAATTAAAACAAGAGGAAACAGAAACGGTTGATCAATTTGTTAAGCTAAGCCCAGGATTGTAATTTTGCAGATTCTGAAGAACTAATACGTACAGATGGTGTACAACAAGTTAGACTTGAAACGGGGATTTCACCAAATTGAGCTATCAGAAGAGTCCAGAGATAACACTACTTTTGTGACACACAGGGACCTTTTAATTACAAGAGATTACAAATTGGTATTAGCTCCGCTCCTGAACCATTACATTATACAGCAAGCAATAGCTGGGTGTGATGGATCTCATAACATAGCAGATGATATGATAGTACATGGTCGTGACCAGAAAGAACATGAACAAAAATTAGTTGAAGTGTTAAAACGTCTAGAAGAAAAGGAACTAACATTAAACAAAGACAGGAGCTGTACGTGACAGAGTTAGTGAAATGAAACAAAAGGTGAAGGTCAATGCAGACTTTCCTAGACATGCACGTGAGAGTGATATTCAAACAGGTGAAACAGTGTTACTACAACAGAAACGAGGAAACATACAATGTGGTAAATAAATATGGTGATCAAGTCACTGTGGAGTCACCGCAAGGGGTTAGATATAAACGAAATACTTCTCATGTGAGATATTTCTTGATGAAACAAGTGTTGATATAGAACTTGTCAAAGTGCTTGATAGTGATATGCCTGAGGATAGTCAGTTAGATGAACCCCCTCAATCTGAATTTTTAAATATTCCAGGGACACCAAATGTTTTACCCAACTTTAGACCGCAACGCACTATTCATGCACCAAGGTACTTAGAGGATTAAGTTACTTGGAAAAGAACTGGTAATGACATATGGGTAAGAATAATTCCCGTCTTGCCAGTATGGGGTTTAAAGGGTAGTGTCTCTTGCCCAAGTTACAAGGCATTACTTGTAGTTTTGTTTAATGCTGTATTTTGAAGTTTGGAACTTTTATTGTTTATTCTGTTTTGAAACTGTTAAAGTGAACTCCTGTATGCTTAAACTTAAACTGATACCTGAGACATTTGTGTCTGGAAAAGAAAAGGTATGTTGTGTGTTAATCGCGCGTATAATTGTGTGTAAAGTGCCCCCAAGATGTACAGTGTGATCTAATTCTGTTTGGTGGTTAAAACAACCTGTTTCAAGTTAGTGTAATCGTATTTTAATATTAAATAAATTACTACGTCAACAAAACATTTCCAGATAACTTCCTTGTTTTTTGAATATTATATGTCTGACTACACATCCGCATACACAGACATACTAAAATATATTGCAATTCTTTTTCAGACCGGGGATAGAGGGGCTGATGTAAAGCTGTAATAATCACTGACTACGACATGTAAACTATCACATGCTCCAAATTAGTGTAAACAAAAGCTTTGAAATTGTACCAAATAAACAACACCTATAAAACCCCTGTGAACTGGGTTTTCTTGATATTTTGAAACATAAAACATCTGTATATATGATATGCGATATAAAGAAGTACACACAACATAGTATAGTTTAAACAACGTACAGTATTCGACACGAGAGAATGGAAATGCCTGACCCGTTACAAAGGGTGGTAGATTGCTTTATATTCTTACAATGAAATAAAGGACACACCTAAATCAGTAATATAGATGATGTCCTAACATAGAAGCATGCATGCATATAATTATGAAACAGATAAACATAACTAACCGCAACGGACGCAAATAATACTGACAATCGGACACGGTTCTATCAACGCAGCTTCTTCAAACTTGGTGAAACTTTGCACGGTAACGATTTATTTTCCAGCGAGTCTTCGTCAACAGTGGCGGCGATGGTGATGTAGAACGCAGTCAGACGCACTGTAGTTGTATACCATACGATGCACTCAGTCGAACACAATACCAATCAATTACAGTTAGTATATGTTCATTCTTAGTAGCTTGTAGAACTTCCCGGGTAGATCCACTTACATCACGGAACACATAAAAAGCCAGAAAACTTAGAGGTAGCATCGTGTTCAAAACCAAGAACGTTACTGACTGAAAGTTCCCGAAGGGAATTTGTACGACAATACACAATGCATTGGTCAAACGTGAAAATTGGTATAAATTACGGCAATATATCTCAAACTTCCATGATGCAATATTATTTAATAGCTAACTATCATACCTATGAGGTCGAACATCTCCATAATTGTCTGCGTTGTTTATATGACGTATTGGTATGTTACCATGACAAACTGAATAGTCACCTCATTGAAAATCGAATATCCCAGAGGTCACTAGCTGTGACGCAGTTAGTATGACCATAAGGGTATATAATACCTCTATGCTTGGATGAAACATTCAAACAAAGCGGAAATAAGCCGATCGGCGTAACACAAGGCAAGGTCAATCGCAATTTCAAACTATAGAACATATCATCAACATGCAACTAGGTATATATATATTTGTCTAGATAACCACCCATCCTGCCATGTCATCCACAATAATGTTGTTAGGCTTTATATTTCTCGTATTTCCTGGTCCGTGGATTTTTGTCAACTGAACTGAATTAAAATAAGTCGTGACTTCGATATCGACGTATATTTAAAGAATGAGAAACCATACATCGTGCCGATATCCTATCATAAACTCATCTGCAAAATGTAGATGCCCAAGCAGTTGCAGTCTATGAAAATATATCCGTTCTTTTTTTTTTGACAGTGTAAATGCATGCTATGACAATATGTTATACATACACAGTACTTAAATACCTTGATTACTAAAAAACACAAACTTGGCAGTTCATTTCTGGTGCGATTCGGGAGACCACCAAATTCCTCGAAACCAATCTCTTGAAACACATTTTCAAGAAAAGCCCACCGCTGAAACAAATTTTCTACATGGTTTAAACATGGCTTTTATCTTTTCAACTTTGTTTCTTAATTGTATTCAAAGACTACTAGTTTTTGAATACGAACAACGGAATCAACTTAAGGCAGGCCTTGTGCTAACACACATTTACATCGTATACTATCTCTCAATCATTGCATTTCAATACAACTTTATATATATGGATGCACAGAGTTGATTACTTTCCGATATAAATCAGTGCATATTCTTACCTATTTTGCATAATAATTAGTCAATAATTAGTCAATCGCTATTGTCAATGACGTTGAACAATTTATGAAAAATTTCTTAATTTTGATATGCAAAAAATAGGTCATCTTTAAATACATTTATCATGTGTATTATTTAGGTTTCTTTAACAGTTTTCAAATTTTACCATTGCGAGGTATTTATTGTATAATAATATGTAACGCTTTGATAAACAAATGATTTATACATATAACACATAGGATGTTGCATGCCTTTGAATTTTAAGTAATCTAAGAATGTATTTAACATATGCTGTATACGTTGTCCTGAAACCCATATAGACCATGGCACTTTAATGCCCTTTTCCCCAGCAAACATAGTATGTAAAAAATTTTCAACCGATTTTAAATAAATACTTCAACAATGTCTTTCTCACGTTGAACCAATCATCTGAGTACAATGTAATTGTTTTGATCTTTATGATGAGATATACAGACCATTAGCATTCTTTGTAATCATTTTAGTATTTATTTGTTATGTCATTTCATATAATTCTAATTTAAACTGAGTCTATTTGGCAACACAATAATGTGTCCCTTTGATTTTACATTGTTTTTTTCAAATAATGTTACGGTTGAATTTGTGAATACATGAAAGAATTTCATGAGTACCCGGTTAAACTGAGACTACTTGATTGACTTCCACAATATGTTTGTATGTACCTGGTGCTCAGAGCTCTTTTGAACGATTTCCATAACATTTGCTACTGAAGTGTATTACACAAATTTACACATGGGCTCGTGCATGTTACGCGTAGTTTGGGTGTCAAAATTGTGATAATTTATATTTTTGTCAGTTATCTGCCATTCCTTGACCAATTTTCATGTTTGGAAACGAGTACGCAGCATGTTAGACATGTAAATAGATAAATTTCCCATAATATTCTGTTCAAATTTTGTTATTTCTGGTCACAAAAATAGGATGAAAATGTTTTCCTTTCAGTTGTACATCAATAACCCATGTCATTCGTCCCAATAACAACTTGTAGCTAGGATTACCGACATTTTGTGGCACTGTTATAAAAACTAAATCCACTTTGATAGAAACAGTTAACATGGATACTGCTTAAAATAAAATGACACTTTTTGAATTTTCTTTGTTTTTTGAGAATATACAAGACATAAAAACACCTCGCTATAAAATTCCACTCATCTTGCAGACATTACTGTCAAGACCAGAACTTACTGTATATATAAACAACTCCTTACTGTTTTTGTATTTACTTTGCAGTCAGAGATTGTAGTTTGACAAATGGTATTTATAACTTTCCCAAAACGTAACCAAATAAACGGACGATGTAGTGTATTTTCCCTTACCATATACCATACTAACTACACATTTGGGATAAACATGACTCTACTACAATGTAAATGTCGATACCAAGCAGCATATTTCTGAAGAGTATAAGTTTCAATCTCTTACACACCATGTTTTCAAAATGATGATTGATGTACCACGTAACTTGGTTCGATTTCGCTGATCTTTGAACACCCTGTAAAAAACAATTTTGGTGGAAATGTATGTACCAGAAGTATCAGGCACAAACCATATAACATAACATCTGCAACACACAAGCAAATACATAACAATACAGTCAGACAGTCGTGACATGGTTGTGTTATTAGCAGACCTGAACTCGTATTGAGTGCAATTTTATTATATTTCACAAGTATGTGAGCTTACCTGACAGTGCCATAGTTCTCATGAGCTCGTCTTTCAGTATTTGAAGAACCTGCTTAACACCATCTTCACCCTTCGATGGGAAGAATTGTACAATCCAATTGTAAGTTTGTATTTAGCTGATTTCTCAATTAATTTGGCTTGTTAAATTCTAAACTGTAATTCCGATAAAATTTGCAAATTAAGCTTATGTTATGCATTATTTCTCAAAGTGTTGTGTGTCTCGATGATTCATTCATTTCTCTGTATATACATTTTCCTCTTAGCTTACATGACCCATGACTTGTTAATGCATATGAACAGAGAGAATGTTTATCACACCCATTGTGTGCGCGATAATTATATACATTTTGTTTTCGGGAACGCTGTTCTGGAGTGATTTTTATCGACTGAATGCAACCGAACTTTACACTATAATATGCATTATATAAAACATTGCTTTACAATTGGATGACTCATTGCAGTTCTCATTATTTCACCAATCATATAATTCAACCACGAATGTACAGTGTCTCATCATCGGTCAATAATTCAATGTATCACTTACTGCATACTTAAGTCCATATATGATTGGTCTACCAATGAATACAGCCCTGGCTCCCATTGCTAATGCCTTGAATACATCAGTGCCTGTGCGTACGCCCCCATCCACATAAACCTCAATTCTGCCACGCACAGCAGCTATGATATGCGGTAACATTTCAATCTAGTGGGTAATAATATACGGATATAAAACAATGTTGGCATATATTTTATGAAAGATATTGATAATAAGGTGTCATTCTGGACATTGTCACCCACAAACATGTGATGTTACACATTGTTGATATTTTTGGGGTATTCATCTGGCGGTGAATAATTGAGTTTAATGATTGGGCGATCGATGTGCATAATTGAATGTCAATAACAACAATTGGTGCATAGAGAATACTAATGTGATACTTGTCATTATAGCATGGTTCGTAATTGAATAATG